TCCTGTATTTTGGTACCGTTAGATTCACAATACATCAACGGCAGAGCTCCGTCCCACCATGCCACACGTGATAGAAAGCTCAGCGTTGAGAAAACTCAACGCTGTAGGTGGGACTAGACCCCAGGTCACTCTAGTAGCCTAGGGAAAAAAATGAAAAAAATGAAAAAAATGAAAAAAATGAAAAAAATGAAAAAAATGAAAAATATAAAGAAAATGAAAAAATGAACACAATGAAAAAAATGAAAGAAATGAAAAGATGATGCCAACAAGAAGCAACGCAGCCCCTAGGAGTTAGATGAGGCCAACAAGAGATCCCAACCAGGAAAGTTTCGAAAATTTTAGAACTGCAAATGAAAAATTTAAAATTCTGAATTGAAAAAAATAATTTAAAAATTAAAATTCGTCACAGATAAAAACCCAAAATTAAAAAAATGCGATGCAGATGTGAATAAAGTTCAATAAACAAGACATCCTAGGAGTCGCGCGAGGGCGACGAAGCATATCCCAACCTCCCAGATTTTGTGAGCTCTCTTTTGAGTCTTTTCCTTTTTTTTTCTTCTTTTTCTTTTCATTGTCGTTGTTGGTGGTGTGTGTTGTGATGTTCGCTATACACAACTCCACAAAATAGGCACAACTGTGCCAGAGAGACTGTTCCGGCGGACTTTCACCGACTCATCGGGAGGTTGAACTTAGACGGACAGTCTGCCCAGGATGCATTTCACTGATGAATAAGGACTCACCACTTCGCCCAGAGTTGTTGCTCCCCCTGTGAAAAAAGTTGGCGTGTGTGTGAAGGGCTGTGTGCGTGTATGCGCGTATACGCAGTGGGCAACAGCGCAGCGAAGCACACGGGAACACCAACACAGCAGCCACGCACGACACGGCACACAAGCAAGTCATGCGGAAGGCAAGTCATGCGGATGGGCAGCAAGGCAGCAGTGCAGCGAAGCACAGAGCAACACGAACACCGCAGCCACACCACACAGTGAGCACAGCAGCTTGCAAAAGAACGCCATGCGATGCACGCACGACAGGCAGCAAGGCAGCGGCGGAGCGCAGACAAGGCAGTCTACACATCCAACACGGAGCAACGCGGCACATCACCTTCTCACACCATGAGTGAACCCTGCAGACTGTTGGTTCCCACAGCCTGCCGAGCCAGAAAGCAGCTCCAATGGACGTCTATCATCACGCATAAACCGTATGACGACAGGCATCACAGACAGCACTGCTTCCCTAAGAGTCCTGCAGGCACTCCAAACCACCAACGACCGACTATTTAGCACTTCTTGAGGGTTCTCACCTAGGCATACGCAAAAGTACTTTGAAAAAATCAAGAAAGAGGGAATACATACATACATACATACATACATACATACGGAGAGAGAGAGAGAGAGAGAGAGAGAGAGAGAGAGAGAGAGAGAGAGAGAGAGAGAGAGAGAACTCACACCTGCTGATCCACAGACACAAGAGATAGGGGTTGGAGGATGGAGTATGGTACTTAGTACTGACAGGCTTTTGGATGTTGTGAATTCTTCTTCTTCTGTTGTGTGTGGTGGGGGGTCGACAGGTTAATAGACGGCCACTTCACGTGGCAGTGCGGGCTGGAAAGTTGTCATCCGTCTTTGTGCTGTTAAATCATGGGGCCAAAGTCAACTGCTCAGATGATGTAAGGCTGTTTTCTCCCTCTTTTTGTGGGAAAAGGAGGAAGGGGGGTGAAGGTGAACATGGCAGTGTGATATGATATGATTATTTTGTCAATGATAATAACTAGAAGTTAAATTTCTAGTTTTAGTCTTTTAGAAAGAAGAAACAGACACACACACACATGGGTCAAACCATTACTCTCCTCTCCTCTCCTCTCCTCTCCTCTGCTGTTCTGTATGTGTTCTGATGTGTTTCTATCACGTACTTGATGCAGTGCGTAATCCATTCTCTCTCTCTCTCTGTGGGAGATGGAGGTTGAGGGTGGAGAATGACATCTCTGTCTCTCTCTCTGTGGGAGATGGAGGTTGAGGGTGGGGAATGACATCTCTCTCTCTCTCTCTCTCTCTCTCTCTCTCTCTCTCTCTCTCTCTCTCTCTCTCTCTCTCTCTCTCTCTNTCTCTCTCTCTCTCTCTCTCTCTCTCTCTCTCTCTCTCTCTCTCTCTCTCTCTCTCTCTCTCTCTCTCTGTCTCTCTCTCTCTCTCTCTCTGTGTCCCGAAAAGGATCAGGGACCAATGCCTGTGGTCCCAGCAGCTGCTGACGTTGTCATTTTCATGGAACGCAGACGGTTCCACCGGCAGTACACGGCCCCAGCCTTGAGGAAAATCGCGAGTTGCCGGCTCATTTTTTTTTGCAGCTGGGGGCTACCGGCCGGGGACCACAATCGCTGGCAGCACCAGCCAAAAAAGAAAAAAAAGTGCGCCGCTTGCGGCTTGGAAGAGCTTGGCGTGCAGTGCAGTGCAGCGCCTCCTGGCCCGTGTGTGTACTGCTGGTCGAACCAATGTTTATTCTGTTTCTGAGGACTGAAAGTTAACGGAGCACAGTTATTTTCTGCTTTAACCAATGGTTAACTGTGTGCTCTGTTAACTGTGGAGGATATACTGAAGGTTAACACGAAGGCCTTTTTTTTTTTTTTTTAATTTCAGCGTTTTTTTTTTTTTTTTTTAATGCTATTCACAAAGGAAAACGCAAAGGCCTTTCTTTAAAACCACCCAGTGCTTGGCCCCATATATCGGCCGCGGGGGGCGGCGCCTTGTCGCATATATGTGCCTCAATTTTTGGGGCCTTCGCGGCCGATGACAATTTTCATCAACGGTCCACGTTGGTTGCTTTTTTTGGCGCGCAGGGTGTCCCCAGGGTCGGAGAAAAGTGCCCTCGTAAAAAATGGGAAAAAAAAGGTGGCAGGTTTTAACTTTTAACTTTTAACCCAACCTGCCACCTTTTTTTTTCCCATTTTTTAAAAATCAAATCCGTGTTTGACTCATCTACGCGGGTGTGTTTTACAATGTTCTTCGGAACAAATACAAGGTAACATGGTGGTGGTTGACGCAGGGCTGAAAACTCGATCCATTTGTTTGAAAAAAAAAAAACATGAAATGGAAGAAAAAAGGAAAATTGGAGAGCAATCTAGGCGACCAGCGGGGCCGCCCGGGTCCTGGGTGGCCAGCCCGTGCAAGAAAGGACAAGAGAAGGCCCCAGCAAAAGAAACAACAAAAAAAAATAATCCGAGAAAAAACTATGTTATGCAGAACAATAAACTGAACAACTTTTGCCTCAGTGTCACATCGAGATTCTTTACCAAATTTAAAATATAAAAAAAAATTGCAAAATATTTTATTTGTTTTTCATTTTTTTATTTTTTGTTGGCCCGGCCCGGCAAGTGACCCCGGGCCACTCTCGTAGCCTAGAGATCAATTCAGTTTTGCAGTATAACCCCGACGTTAACAGCTGGTCCTGTTCAGGCCGCGTTCAAATGGTTAGGTCATGCCAGGTGCACGCATGCTCAGTACTATTATTTTATTATAATATTAATTACAATATAAAATTATAAATATATAATAATATAATAATAATATAATATTATATAATATTATATAATTATATAATATAGATTAATGAACATTTAGTCCACGTATATCATTAAGTTGACTTGATTAGCATTTAGTCAATGGATAATGTAGTCAATTGACTTGCAGACAAGGGACGATGTTTTCGACTTCACTTGTACACGAAGTCAACGGATTGTGTTTTTGACTTCGCTTGTATAACAAGTCAAGGGATTATGTCTTTGAATTAAACCACCACTACCCCTGCCGGCCTAAATTCCTCTTTCCTGACCTTACGGACCGGGTTCTTAGGGGGGGCGGGGGGCGGGCGACTGGCAGGCGCAGGCGGGTCCGGTCCAAAAATTGTCAAGCATGAACTTTGACGATTTTTCGCGCTCAGAAGAATTGACGAAAAAATCTGAAAAATTGAGATCCGGTAGATTAGGTTGTGATCTTTCCAGGAAAAATATCAAAAAAAATGAAAAACAAAAAATTAGACCGTGAAATAAATGCCGCGCCGTTTCGTCGCATTTTTCCATTTTTGCCACTCTACCCCACGTGTGGGCCAACGGGAAAAGTACCCCAACTTTCACGATTTTTTGCGCTCAGAAGGATGACTCGACAACTCTGAAAATTTGAGGGTCCGTAGATTCTGTTGCGATCTTTAAAGGAAAATATTTTTAAAAAATTTTAAAAATCATTTTAACAGCGAAATAAATCGCGGGGGAAATTCAACGCATTTTCCAATTTTGCCACTCCGCCAGTCCCCCCCCCACTGTGCTACCGGTAGCCCTCATGGACCTGTGCTACCGGTCCCCCCTAATTTATGACGGCGGGGGTAGTGGTGGTTTAACTTGTAGACAAGATGAACTCGTCCTGATCCATGAGCTGTTCACTGCGTGTTCATCTCGTTGACTCATGTTGTTGATTCTGTCACATCGGACTCCTCTGTCCCTTCTTGTTGCGTCATCGACAGCAGGACATCGACCTCATGGATTCTAAACGGCATCGTTGTTAATCGACTTGCCCCTCGCCATCTACTCCCTCCACACGTACGGAACTTGTACTCAACATCTGCTGACCATGCATGCGCTTCGTGCGCACTGCTTGAAGATTGCATTGTCATGTTCTTCAGCATATGCTCAGCTCACTGGCGGGTGCTCAAGAGGATAAACTGTCTGGTCACGTGCTCAGCATGTTTGCCAGGTTGAGCGTAGTATGTATGCTCAAGAGGATAAACTGTCTGGTCACGTGCTCAACGACAGATAACGTCTTATAAACTCTAACGAAATAAAGAAATGAACGGGGCTTTCGGACTCTTTCTCCCCTCTCAAGGGATTCTTTTCTGAAGCACAATTTCCTTAGTTGCTTGTTTGTCGAAAATTCTCCAAATCCACCAACGTTTGGATTATTTGTCAGTAACTCATGATTAGAGGCCGATCAAATTTAGACTTAAAAAAAAAAAAAAAAAATATCCTTTCGTTGGAATACTATCATTTTGAGAAATAGTCCAGGACGTAATCATTAATACGTCAGTAGTTATACCAGCATGATCAGCATCTATTTATGTCAGTATTTTTTTTTTCTGTATCATCTATGGTGGGACAGCCAGTACATTCATCCGAGGGATGTCTTTTTTTTTTTTTTTTAACTTTTTCCAATCCGAATGCCAGAAGGGGAGGGAGGGGGGGGGAGGAAATGGCGCGGGCACAATTTTTTTCTTTCTTTTCCTTTCATACTGGGCACGTAGTGGTCGTATTTAACTGTTCAGTAGAATAAATGCACATGTATGATGACGGGTTGATTTCATGTCAATTGCATTACATGTGTTGTTTTTCTTTTCTTTTTTTCTTTTTTTTTGGGTGTGTGTGTGTGTGTG